TTTTGGAAGAGTGAATGTAGTAGTAGTAGTTGCATCAGCTGTGTGATTTTCCTCTTCTCCTTCCCACCCTATTATTTCCTCCATTTGTTGACAATCCTGAAGTATAATCTTCTCCAAGTTTTGGAGGCCTTGTAGCAGCTCAATTGGAAACAACCTCTTCATTCTAGAACATCGCCACATTCCAAAGGATTTAAGATTGGAAAAGATGTGAGGCGATGTTGCTTCTACTCCTTCCACGTTCACAACAACACTCAAGTTGGGCAACTTATCAAGATACAGCGCTTCAAGGTTATTAATGAAAGATGATGATGACGTCACCATGTCAACCACACACCCTATCTCTTCACACTCAGTAACAACACACCTTCTCAACTCAGTTGTTTTTTGGAGAGAATAAATATCACTTAAGCTTCTAAATTTTCTACACCGATTAATCCACAGTTCCTCCACGTCATTTGGAAGCACCACACTATCTTCTCCACCTACCTCACGTTCTCCTAAACTTATTTCTTTAGAGAAATTATTAATAAAAGGATTAAAGGTGCAGTCCACTTGTCCAACCACAAGCTGGTAATTACTCAATCTTTTAAAATGATTAGACTTGACATAATTGTTGAAGTGTTGCAAGTCATACAATTCAGCTTGAAAAGTCTCCAACTTCTTCAATCCTCTTACTTCTTCTCCTTTTATCTTTAAAGTGGTTGAGTTGGAATATATTGTCAAGTGCTGGAGGTGAGAGAGGTTACTGAGTATTTGTGTCGGTAGCTCCACCAATTCTGGACACCGTAAATCAAGATATTGGAGATTTACAAGCATATCAATGCCTTCAGGGGCCACCTCAATTCCTGCCTCACACAGATCCAACTTCTTCAATGCCTTAAGCTTTGCTAAGCAAGGCACATGTTTTAATTGGGTACAATTTTGCAAGAGCAATGTAGTAAGATTCTCCAAATTGCAGATGGAATGAGGTAGACTTTCAATGCTAGTTCCAGAAAGATTAAGCAACTTGATCCCCTGCATGTTTGCAAAAAAGCAATTTGGAATTTGGGTCAATTTGCTATTCCGTTGCAACATCAAGGTGTTGAGAATGGGACAATTTGGGCACATGTTTAGAGGAATATCTGAAATTTCATTATCCATCAAGGAAACCTTTTCAAGATTTTTAGTCCATTCACACTCATCTGGTATCTCTGTTAGTCCCATACAAGCTTTCACCATAAATTGGGGACTGATGCGCAATGCCATATCTCTCACAACATCATGCATTTTAATAGTGTCCTCAGAATAAGCTTTCTCTAACAAACAACTGTTTTCAAGCTTGTTTAACATGGTTCGTCCTTCATCAAGCATTGCTCGTCTACTCCTTGATTCTTTAATAAATCCCTCATCAATCCATTGTTCAACTAGATCATCTTTGCTAATTTGATAATCTTCAGCATACAGTGAGCAAGATAAGAAACAATTTTGGATATTTGAATCTTGCAAACAATCATAGCTGAACTTCAATCGCTCAAATATCTCGTCTTCTGAACCTTCGGCTGTAGCTCTTACATGTTCACGTAATTCCTTTAAAGCATGCCTCCACTCATGGACATCAGTTACTCCTTTCATGCTCCCAGCTATTACAACAATAGCCAAGGGTAGTCCAGCACACTCCTCCACCATGGCCTTCCAAATTTCTTCTGGGACTTGTAGAATGTCACTTCCCACCTTATCTGAGAACAATTTCAAAGACTCTTCCTTTGAAAGAGGAGACACTTTAACTATTTCACAACCAAGGGACTTGCATACATCCACCTTTCTACTAGTAATAACTAGTTTGCAACCGTTTTCCGCTGTTGGTGGGGGAATTCCAACACACCCCAGAGTGAATCTTTCCCACACATCATCTAAAATCAACACATATTTCCCTTTCCCCATAAGATGCATTAATTTTGAAGCATGTCTTTGGTCATCATGATCATCCTTCTGTAGTTTTTCATTCATTGCCTCTGCAATTTCGTGCCGTAATCTCACAACATTCAGTGGATATGAGACAGTGGCCCAAATCACTTTGTCAAATCTTGACCCCTTTAATAATTCATTATGGATATGCTTCATAATGGTGGTCTTCCCAACACCCCCGATTCCACAAACTCCAATCATTCGGACCTCATTCCCTGTCAAGTATCCCCATATCTTTTTCTTCACAGAATCCTCGCCTTCTAGATTCTCTACTGGTAAAGGCAAAGCAATTGCAGGCTTATCAACTACCAGTCCTTCAGGAAAACTGCCTCGTTTAAGAATTGCATCTAGTACATCAATTTTTTTACGAGCAAGTTTTCCAAGGCGAGCTCGTGAGAAGTATGAAGCACTATGCAGCCTTTTTAAAACATCTTGAATTTCAGCATTGATCTTCACTACATCTTGAACCCATTTCTCCACTTCTTTTTTGGCTTGTTTTTCTGAGCAAACCTCATTTAGAAGTTGGTTTTCTACATCTACTTTTTTGCAATTAAGAGTGCTCAATTTGTCTCCCAAATCTTTTGCATTTTCTTTGAAGTTTCTGTGATTATCTACACAACTTCGTGTTGGACGTGCCACACACTTTATGAATTCAAGAATTAGTGTCGCAATTTCCGCCATGAGGAAAATTCCTGAAATGTGACACCAATTGAGGTACTTAAGTTTTTTGTTTGCTTCAAATAAAGAAAAAAACATAAATAAGTAAACAATCTTTAGTCCTCCTTCCAATACATATTTACCGATTTGGTGGATTCATTGCCTTATATCGGGTTATCTAAACCAACCTATTTGATTATCTTATGCTCTTTTTGTATGTATTACATTGATTCTGCATGTGTCAAGGATTGTCCATCATACACAAGTGAATCCATGTGAACTTAGTTAGTTAAAATTGAATTGTTTAACATACGAAACTAATACATATTTGTCATATTATGTAACAAAAAACATTATTGTCATGGTGAAAGACAAATCAAGGATGCATATGTTTAGTAGAGATTCAACTAGAAATTAAACCTTTCTATACGTCCAAGAGAGAAAAACAGATAACAGTAGTATAAAAAGTAGTATATACCTAGAGATCAGGTGGCGAAATGAGGTAAAGATGTTGAAAATATGTGGAGCTGGAGGCAGAGCAAAGAAGTACAAGAATGGTGCCGGCCAAAGATCTAAACAAACACATAACAAACAACCATAACAGATAGAGATTAGAAAATAATAAAGGTAGATGATTAGTTATAACTTAACAGTAGATGACATATCGCAAACTAAGGAAGCTAAGAATAAGCGAAGAACGGGGTGAGAAGTGTAAAGGCAGAGCAAGGAAGCACAATATTGGTAGCGGATCTGAACAAACACATGACAATAACCATAACAGATTAGAAAATACTTAACAAAGGTAGATCTGAACAAATTATACGACATAGCATGAGTGATTACATTAACTCATTAAGTATTTGTGTTATATTGAATCAAAATGGCCTGTTTTCTTATTGATGCAAGAGCCCTTTTTCATAGGTATTAATGTTTGATCAAGACCTAGAAACTCTTGAACAACCAGTGACGATTAACAACAACATACAGAAAATATAAACATGATCAGTAGATAACATACCTATAGCCTGTAGCTAGGCTAGGCTGAGGAAGCTGCAAAGAGCAAAGAAAAACTGAGAAGTAGTAACAGTGGTCGTAATTATAGATGTTTGGTGCGTTTTAATAAAGTGAGGAAGACCTTGGTGTCGGCGAGTCAATGTAGAATTATTGATGCAGTAGGTGGTTTGATAAAAAAAAAAAAAAAGCATCACAATTCCCATGATATAAACAAACAGAAGAATCCAAAGGTAACAGCTGTGTATAAAATTTAAAAATTACGCATTATTTTTTTTATATAATCATTGAACAACACAAAGTTTTTAAATTTTAACTTTTATCTTAAATAAAAATTTTGAAATTAAACAATTCAATTAAACTTTTATCAATAAATGACAGACTGCATGAACTAAGCTTTTGGATCAATTGATTCCCCTAAAACCTTAATATTTGGATTAAATTGATTAAGAGTTAATGACTTGAAAAAAAATTTTCATCTCTCAAAATTTTCATACGTTTAAAATAAATAAATAAATGATGGACGGTATAAAACAAAGACGGTATCGGAGACTGGATATTAAAAAATTGTTGATGAAGAAACTTTTTAGGTGTGGAAGAGGGAATTTTTCTCCACGTCTTTTTTGGCCTGTTTTTGTAAGCAAACCTCGGTTAGAAGTTGTGTTTCTATATCTAACTGCAATTAAGAGTGCTCAATTTGTCTTCCAAATCTTTTGCATTTTCTTTGAAGTTTCTGTGATTATCTACACAACTTCGTGTTGGAGGTGCTATACACTTTATGAATTCAAGAATTAGTGTTGGAATTTCTGTCATGAAGAAAATTCCTGAAATGTGACACTAGTTGAGGTACTTGAGTTTTTGTTTGCTTCATATAAAGAAAAAAGCATAAACAAGTAAACAATCTTTGTTCCCCTTTCCTAACTTATAACATGAATAGTTTTTCATTATCATTTACTGAAACAGCCAGGGTAAGTGCATCTGGCTACATGGATAATGGATCCAGCCCAATATTACATGATGTTATATGGTCACCTGTGAATACATTTATTGGACCTAGTCAAAGTTCTAGTGCTCCGATCAACTTGCCCTCTCCTGCAAGAGTGGCATCCGTTAACAACCAATTTAATCTCCAGGAGCCAAACCACACTCTTGATGAAATGAAGTTCCGGAACCAGTGCATTACAAGTTTCCATCCCCATTCCTCTCCCGAGTATCATGATAATTTAGCCAAAAGCCTTCCATCTAACTCCTCAAGCACCATTCCAGACATGGTTAGCAGTTTTGTTTCCCAAATGACTGATGGACTTGATAATAGGAGCATTCATGGAGTGAGTACAAATGGGCACCTGATAGAACCTAATGGAGGGGGTAAGTTATCTTGGTTAGATTTTACCATTGATAATTTTCACATAATTGCGTCACTTGTGACAACTGAGATAGAGAAAGTAACTATAATTTTTAAGAGAACTGCTAGTATTCTTTTAAGTTGTTTAGTTGATTTATTAGCTGATTCCTTCTCTCTAGTTTTTGGATCATATGGTAATGGAAGCTGTTTGCTTCATGGAAATCATTATGCATGGAACAACTCCAACTCACATCAGCAGCACCCCTCAAGTGCCAGGATTTGGCCCAATTCTCCCTCTTTTGTCAGTGTTGTTCAGCATATGCCTGCATTTCCTAGGGTACCTCCTGTTATGCTGAATGCAGTATCACCTGTACACCATCACATTGGGTCAGCACCACCAGTTAATTCACCATTATGGACAGGCGACATGCCTATGCTGGGAAATCTCCTGACACCTCCAGTTTTCACTTAGGATCTCTAGGGAATGTTGGATTTCCTGGTAGTTCTCCATCACACCTTGTGGAAATCGCTTCTCACAACATTTTCTCACATGCTGGTGGAAACAATGGTGTGGTACAC